TCGAATCATTGTATGAAATTTTTTAAATAGGGATCCCACTTCAGATTTTTCCTTCATGAGAAATAACCAAGTAATTCTTGTATGGTCATCAATAAAAAATACAAACCGCCTAGTTCCGAAAATGTTGAAAACCCTGAAAGGGCCCCAAACATCACTGTGAATTAATGCAAATGGTTTAGATGGTTTATATGGTAGACTATGGAATGAAATTTGAGTATGTTTAAAAAATTGGCAAACTTCACACTGTAATGAAACTGGATCTTTTCCTTTAAATAGTAGTGGAAACATCCTTTTTAAGTACATTAAGTTTGGATGTCCTAGTCTATAGTGTCACAACATAATATCATGGTCATTATTTTTAGAAATAGGAACAGAGTTTTCACATACTGCTTTATGAGCTTGTCTTTTAGAGGTGTTGACTTGAAGCAAATATAATCCCGAGCTCATCCTAGTACTGCTAATCGTCCTCCCCGAGTCCAAATCTTAGAAATTACACATATTAGAAACAAATTTCGCAGCACATTTCAAATCTTCACATAGCTTGCTGACAGATAACAAATTACAATCCAAATTCGGAACATGGAGAACTGAACAGAGAGCCAAATTTGGAGACAAATTTACAGGCCCATTCCTGCCACTTTTGAGAGAGACCCATTTACAATTCTGATTGAAATATTTTCTTCACATCTTCTGTAATTTTGGAACATTGAGAAATCGCCACTCATATGATCAGATGCTCCAGAGCCTACCACCCACACCTGTCATTTTTCTAAAAGAGCAGATAAACCATGAATATTACCTTTGTGTGCCACAAAGGCACTGACTGGGTGAGATTTCTTGGACAAGATTTTTTGGAGGGCTTCTAACTGTTCAGGGGTAAATGGGTCTTTTCCCATCTCATAAAAAATTACTTCCTTAGCCGTCACATGATTTCCTCGAAGCTTGCTGGAGGTCTCTGCTTTTGATATTTTTCACTCACCCAAAGGTGATTTCCAGTCACTTGGCTTGCCGTGAAGCTTCCAGCAACAATCCCGAGTGTGCCCTAGCTTCCGACAGTTCGTCGCACCAGGGCCTTGTCTTCTTCGTTTGACTGTCAATCGCTCAGGTTGTGAGAGCTGAAGAATTTTCAGTCTGGTGAGGTTGGTCATTCTCTCCCATCATGATCTTCCGACGACTCTTCTCGCGTTGAACCTCAGAAAAAACTTCTCGAAGACTCGGCAAGGGTTTGGTGGTCCGAACACGTCCTCGAATCGCATCGAGATTTTTTTTTAGCCTTAGCAGGAATTTGAAGACTCGCTTTTTTTTTCACAAAGACTTTGAAGTTTTTCGCGTCCTCCGGGCAGTTCCAGTGACGCTCTTCGAAGGCGTCCATCTGCTGCCAATTTCAACTAAGGATACTATAATACTGGGTGACATTGAGTTCTCCTTGTCGAAGGTCATGAAGAGTTGACTCTATTTCGAATATTGCAGAAGTATTTTACTTGCTGGAGTAGAGTTCCTGTGCTGCCTTCCAGATTTCATGAACAGTTTCATAGAGAAGGAAATTCTCTCCGATTTCAGGAGTCATTGAGGTAATGAGACAGGACATGACCATACTGTCTTCAATCTCCTAGGTTTGTGCATTTGCATTGGACGCTGGAGGAGGCATGAGCTCGTCAGTGTGGTTCCCATAACGACCCCTTCCGTGGATGAAAAGACGGACAGACAACGACCATTGAAGGAAGTTACTGCCATCGAGTTTATGTCTTGTGATACAGGATGATGGTAGTTTACTCACA